ACCCCGCAGAGAGAGAGGCGTCCGGCCCGGGAACAGCCACGTCTCTCGGGACCGGACCGATACCGCGGTCACCCGCCCTGCGCTCACAAAGCCTTCATTCGGCAGTTTTGTTGGTAGGGGGGTCAAGAGAGGTCATGCCGCTTTTCCTCCCGGTGCCCTAACGTCTCCCTCCCCAGCTTAGGGATGGCAGGATTCCCCGGGTGGTCGGTTCTTTTATATAGGGCAGCTCGTACCCAGCGCGCCAGGACGCGCGGTTTGAAGTCAAGGTATATTTTTAGACCATGCGCCAGCGATTAAGTCATGTTCCTCCCTCTCCTCAAGGGCTCGGCGTGCATTGTAGCCGTGCAGCCGGGCCCCCTTTGTGAGAGCAGACAGCTGCAGCAACGCCCCTGTACCCCCCCTCACCACCGCACACACACACACACACCCCGGACCCCCGCGAGGCAGGATACCTGCCCGTCCGGCCGCGACATCCTGTTGTCCCCGTGCGGTGGGTGCCGTCCAGCCGGCGCGGCCCCGCTGTCTTCACGGGGTGGGTGAGGACACCTCCGTCGGCACAGCCCGTGCTCTGACCCCCGCCGGCCGTGCCGCCCCCCCCCTCCCAACACACACACACCTTAATCCTATCGCAATAGCTGGGCTAATTCTTCTAGGAAATAAGTAGATTATATAACCCCCACCCTCCCCGAATCGCTTTCCATCCTTCTAAGAAAAGGAACAACAAAGAATTTTAAGCACCACCCCCCCCGCCCGCCTCGCCGGCAGTCTGAGCCCTGAACAGCCACCGGCTCAGCCCCGGTCGGCGATTACAGATGCCGGCACCCCCTCGGCTCAGCGATTACAGATGCCGGCCTCTCCCGCACGGCTACTCGCAAACACCCCTCCCCTCCGCCGATCGATCGATCGATCGATCCGAGCCGCGCTACACGGTACCTCGCAGTCGTACAGCTCCGTCAGCTGATCGATAATCCACTCCTCCAGGTTCAGTCTCTTCCGCAGCTCCTTGCGGTCGTACTTCACCGTCACGCGTCCCTGCTTCCGCACCGGGACCTCCGCTTCCTCGGCGCCGGGCGGCGTTTGGAAATAGACCCGGGGCTGGGGACTGGACTCCGGGCTGGTCACCGCGGCCATGGTCCGGGGAGGGGGTCCGGGAAGGAGGTCGGCTGCTGGGGGTGGGGAGGTGGGGGACGTCCTCACCTCCGATAGCGGGCGGGAGCTGCAGATGTCAAGACAGCGTCGAGCGATATTCCGCGGGTGCTTCCCCTGGAGAAACTGGCCGCGCTCGCCTCTCCTCCCCCTTCCCCCAGTAACACACACACACACAATACAATCCCAAATCTTACACGAGCAGGAGTAAGCTGGTCCACGGCTACTCTCACGCCAGAGAGAGAGACACAACAAGGAGAACTTTTTGGGGGGTTTGTTTGGCAGAAGAGACTCTCTCGCCGGCTGCCGCTCGGTGAAATGCGATCTCCGCGCCTCGGGCCCTCCCCGCCGCTCGCCGATCTACAGCCCCCCTCCTCCTCCTCTTCCTCCTCTTCCCCCTCCCCGCTTTGCTTCGCGTGAAAGTGCCGCTTCCGGCCCGATCTTCCTCCCCGGCTGCAGGGCTCGGTCCGGAGACCCGGCTGGAGGCGGAGCGGCGAGCACAGAGGGGCCCAGAGATACGCGCGGTTCGGCACCTCAACAGTCTCGTTTCCAATCCTGCTGTCCCGTCCGCTTTCTTCGCCTCCTTCTTTCCTCTCCCTCTTCCCCCCTCTCTCTCTCTCTCTTTGTAAGTCGCTGAGCACAGCCCCAACCCTCCTCCTCCTCTATCATCACACCCCTTCACAGACAGACGGCTCCGCGTCTGCACCGTCTCCGTCTCTCACTCCCACACCCCCCCTGTCCGCCAGACCACATGCAACACACACACACAAAAAAACCCAACAGCTCTTCCTCTGTGCACAATCTCTCGAAAGGCGGCCTGACGTGCTGCTGTGTTCATGCACGGATTGGGGGCTTGTTTTTCAAACTCCTGCTCTCGGAAACTCCCCGAGAGAGCGCTGGCGCGGCCAGGTCCCTTGGTTTGCCCAGGGAGAGGAGGCCGTCGGGAAATCGCCGAGAAATAACGCCCAACCCGCAAGCGAGCACCCTCCAGCACCGTGGGAGCTGGGCCCCCCCGGCTCGCCCGCTCGCCGCCGGCAAGCGCACCGCGGGCGCCCCCTATTCCGACAACTGGGCGATTCATAAATTTGAGAAGCGCCACCAACTCGACTCGGGGGAAACCTCCCCAGTTGGCTCGGTGATATTTCTTCCACCTGCCCTGACCTCCCTGACAGAACAGCCCACGCTGGGATACAATCGTTTTGACACCCATCACTGGCTGCTGACGATACCAGAGGAAACGCCACAGTGATCTTGTGAGCAGCTGGGGACGAACTTGTTTACCAGTGGGGCTCACACCTGATGACTGTGCCTAGCACTGGTACTCATTGCTGTCTCACAGAGCTGGGGCCCTCGGTTCGATTCCGGACCCGGGGTGCTGTCTGTGTGGAGTTTGCGTGTTCTCACCGTGTTTGCATGGGTCTCAATGGGTGCTGCGGTTTCCTCCCACAGTGCCGAGACGTGCCGGTGGGGTTAATTGGCTTCTGGGAAAACTGGCCCTGGTGTGAGTGTGTGTCCTGTGATGGACTGGCGTCCCGTCCAGAGGGTACCCGGCCTTGTGCCTGTTACTGGCTGGGATAGACTCCACAGCTTTTCTGCGACTCTGTACTGGATAAAAACAGGAAGAAACTGGACTGATATACTGTCAGCTGGGATAAACTTTGACTCTGCAGTGTAGAGTTGTTACAGCAGGACAGACGCAGTTCTTGGACCTGAGGTGTTCGTTAACCAATTAACCCCCTAATGTCTGAATTAGACGCAACAAGCTTACACATAGAGCACCCCAGAAGCCTGGTCAGAAGTGTCACAATCATGCAGCTCATTCGTACCTGTCTCTCTGTGTGCTCGGCGGGGGAGGGCGGGTCCGGGGGGAACGAGATCTTCCCCCTCGTTAGTGAATCACTTCCCCTGGAGCCCTGGCAGAACCCGGAGAACAGGAAGAACAGGAGCCGTCCAGGCAGGCTGGCCCTATCACAACAGGAGCGAGGCGGACTCCAGCAGAGACAGCGGAGGCAGGGGAGACAGCCGAGACAGAGACAGGTGAGGCAGTTGATACAGAGACAACCAAGACAGGGGAGACAGAGACAGCTGAGGCAGATTAGACTGGGACAGCTGAGACAGGGACAGCTGAGGCAGATTAGACGGGGACAGCTGAGACAGGGACAGGGGAGACAGAGACAGGGGAGACAGAGACAGGGACAGGTGACACAGGTGAGATGAGACAGGGACAAACTTATTTGGGGAAAACTGAGCCAGTCAGAGTTCCTGAGAGACTGATTCAGACTCCCGTGTCTGTGAATCATGGTCAGCAGCAGGCAAGGCTGCCAGCCACACGCAGGGCACAGACAGCAGCCTGTCTTCCCCCTGTACCCCCACAGCCTGTCTGCTCCCCGTACCCCCACAGCCTGTCTGCCCCCTGTACCCCCACAGCCTGCTGTACCCTGTACCCCCACAGCCTGTCTGCCCCCTGTACCCCCACAGCCTGTCTGCTCCCCGTACCCCCACAGCCTGTCTGCTCCCCGTACCCCCACAGCCTGTCTGCCCCCTGTACCCCCACAGCCTGTCTGCTCCCCGTACCCCCACAGCCTGTCTGCCCCCCGTACCCCCACAGCCTGTCTGCTCCCCGTACCCCCACAGCCTGTCTGC